ATGGCCATTATGTATGTGCATTTAACTACATCCCACGCTTAAGCAATGTGCAATGCCCTGCAGTATGTGTGATTTAAAAGTGCAATAGGCATGTTATATGTAATTATCATGTGTTAACCCTTCATGAGCTGCAAACATGCAGAAAGGTTGTACTGAAGAAGGTGACTGTATTGTTGAGAGCCCTGGCATGTATGAGCTCTGTGGGCTGTGTGGTGAAGACCTGACTCCTCCATCCTTGCTCACAGTAGCTGAAGCAGAGAACCGGATTCCAGACCGCCATCCCCTTCTCTCCCTGCTGCTGCTCAGAATGGTTTGGCCACAGCACCCCAGGCTGACGCGCAGGGAAGGGATGGACTATTATTTTCGAAAAATAAAAATAAAGCTATCTACTTTTGAATGTCTGGCTTTGGCTAGGCATGTTCTATCATGCTATAGCTCCTCCAGTGTTACAGTTACTGAAACAAAAGAGGAGGGCTGGAAAAGGCAGGAACTGGTAAGGAAACAGGAAGGAGAAAATGCGTGCAAATAAATGCAATACCTGCCAAAATGTCATCCTCAAAGTAATATATCAAAGTCTATGTGCAGACAGTAAACTCTTGACAGTGTAGGGCCAGAAAGATGAGACGCTTTCCTTCTGGAAGTGCTTTTTGAGTTCTCTTTTTCTTGGTCATTTTCCAGATGTCGATTGTGTCAGACTAACATTGCACATCATCTCATTTGTTTTCTAGATAAAGCCAAGGCAGGAAATGTAATATCTGGGCTTCAGCCAAATTGGTGTCGTGGTGCTAAATAGACAGTTGTCAGGTAGGGGCAAGTTTAAGAATGCTAAGGCAGATATTGACATAAGATATCATCTTATGAAAAGATCTTCTGGATCCCTGAGGATCCGTGTAGAGTTTGATACTGTTCCATATTTTCATTAGCAAGTTAACACAGAAAAGAGGGGTGTTTTGTTGGCATTTGCTAATGAGGCATAATCAGGAGAGATTAGAAACACAGAATAAGAGTAAAAACAAAAAAGGGCAACCTTGAAGACAGGAGTGGTAGAGATGGGATGAAATTATACAGTATGATGCACCCAAACCGTTCTCTGCAAATGCCCCAGGGCACCATGAGGGAAAAGCACTCTCCACTCAGCAACTGCCTGGCCAAAGGGATTAACAACTCTAGCCTGGACCTGTGGGGATAAAATGCAGAGGATTACCAGTGGTGGCAAGAACTGACCCAGAAGATTCTTGTTTTTCCTTTTCTCCTCATCTTTCTAGCAGAGATTTTTCATAATTAATTGCTCACGTGCTTGTCATCTCAGCAGCAGTTTTGAAGGGTGACACTGACATTTCTGTCCTCCAGCCTGCGGTAGGTCTCCATCCCAACAGTCCTAACTGAGCACAAGGAGCCTTGTTGCAAGTTCTCACCTTTCCACTACCTCAAAAAGGTTTTAGAACTCCCCTTGCTGGCTCCCTGCACTGACTAACCAGCCATCCATCTGCGTGGGCTGTGGTGGTGCTCAGAGCCATGGCAGCACCAGGCCACCCACAGCAGAGGGCCCGTGGCTTTGCAAGGGCAAGACTGCATCACGCAAAGGACTCTCTCACAAGCTGCAGGCTGTTCTTGGTCCTTAAGCTGTGGAGAGCCACTCAGTTTATTACGGATGGACCGTCCTGCAAGGCAGCCCTTCCAGGCCTGGGGCTCCCCGCACGCGCTGGCTCCCTCTGCAGCAGGTGAATGCGAATTAGCGAGCTTAGCGGTCGAGCGTGGCCCTAAATCACGGGCAGACAGCAGTGCTCCTCTCGGCAGGCTTGACGCCCCCTCAAGCCTCCACGTTTTAATCTCCTTTTACCATTTTCATTTCCGTCTTTGCTGGGGTTGGTGTTTCTAAGCATGAGTCCATGAGGGATTTCAGGTGACACTCAAACTAAATCTTATTCCACACATGTGAAGGGAGAGATTTATCGGCCCATGTCTGACAACAAAGTGAGGAGCAGCTGGGGCTGCTTGAAATTCATCTCTCTCCCGTCAGCGTGCAGGGAGCTCACGGCGACGTGTATAAATCGCCTGCTATGTTTTTCCCCCCAATTAGACTCTACTCAGCTGCAAACTGCCTCAGTAAATCACAGGTGGCCGCTGCCGATGGCGTCCGCGCGGGACAGGCCATGCCCCAAAGCCACTGTGCTCATGGCACACGTTCCCTGGGCGAGTTTTTGTCAGCGCGAACTGGCAGGGACCCTGCCAGGACTCTGCTGATCCCCGCTATCGGCCTCCGAGTGCCTCTCCTGCCCCCATCAGGGCCCAGCCAGGGAAGGGCGTTAAGAGCAGGTAACTGCTGAGAGGGACCAGTATTATTCGCACACCATGTGCCACCCACAGGGGCAGCAAGGTCCGCAGGTTCAACCTAAAGGTGAAAAAAATTACTGCGCATCTCTCCCCCACGGCTCTTCAAAAGTGTTTTTCAAGGAAGTGGTGGAGGGAAGAGGGGAAAAAAAGCCCAAAGATGGTGCTCAGGAGAGGTCTGGCCTGCATCCGCTCTACACAGAGTGTCGCGGATGGGTGCTGAGCCCCAGCTTGGCCCCCGAGGGCTGCCAGCCCCAAGCCCGGGCCCAGGTCAGGAGCGGCAGCAGACACCCTCTGTGCTCTTAGCTCAGAGACCACCACACTGCAGGTCTCACGGCAGGTTTCACAGCTGCAGCGGAAGACAGCTGATCTCCCAGCCGCCGGCCCTTTACCCACATGGATAATCATTCTGGAGTAATTACCAGCTCGCTCCCTTGGAGGAATTCACCGGTGAGAAGTCACTAGGAGCTAATTGCTACAATTACTCCCTGGCACACAGAGCTTTCTGCAGGAGCAGAGCTGCCCACTGCCACATCCCCCATGCCTTTCCAGCACTCCCGGGAGGCTGCTCCTCCTTAATACCCCAGCCTGGGAGCACAGCCAGCTCCTTCTTTGTCCCAGGCCCATCCTCTTGGGACAGTGCACCCAGTATCCAGCTGCTCTTCCTTGCTGAACACCCTAGTCCTTTTCCTCCACTGTGGAGACTTTTTTTTTTTTTTTTTTTTTTTTTGCTTTTTTTTGGAGAAAGAGCCCTTTCTCTTGCAGGCTGATGCAAAAGACAAGGGCTTTCCACCATAGGTCCCCTCTGCCTGTGAGGCTGAGGGTGGTGGGGGGAGTGAAGTGAGCAGTTAGGAGCAAGACTGGGCTTCATCAGGCTGCAAAAAAAGATATAGGGAACAGGGTGTTAGAGCCAGACATGTCAGAGAAGAAAAACAACTCCCCAGGAAGCAAGACCAGAAGTGTTTATTGCAACTCAGTTCCTAGCAGGTCATCAAAGCTCCTAACCCCTCCACAGTGACCTGAGGTTAAGAGGCCACTCACCCCTATCACACGAGGACTTTGGGGCTGATCTCGCAAATTGTGGACGCAGGACCAGCAATACCCTCCCCTTCCGCTCCTAGCCTGCTCTGACTCCCCCACGCCGACAAGATGAACCAGAGGCCAGGTGAAAGCCAACCTGCTCCTTGCAGAGCAGCAGTCCCGGAAAGCTCTGATAACCCACTGCTCCAGGGACACATCCCACCCAGCGGGGCTCAGGCAAGCACAGAGATCCCATAGCCCCACGCTCCAAGACGCTGGCAACAAAGAGGGCAGATTTCAGCCTTCAGGTGCAGCACTTCCCCTGAGGAACAGGGGCACCCCAAAATACCAGACATCACTCCTGTGTCCTTGGAGCCACCAGTGCTGCTGCCACAGCGGTTGCACCCCTAGCTGCACTTCCGCCCTCCAGCTCATGGTCTGGCCCCTTGCAGAGTGCACAGCCCCTGGGAGGCCTCCAGAGCACCATGCAGCACCACACACCTCTGCCCCATCCCCTCCTCAGCCAAGGAGCCGGCAGTTGTCATCCCAGGCTGCCTTTCCTGGAAGCAGCCTTCCATGAGCAGAGGGGCCCCTTGTAACCTTGTCTGTTCGAGTGGCCAGGAAGGGACCCTCACAGCAGCACAGGCTAAGACATGCACAGGCCCCCTCTGCTCCAAGTGGGCCACTTGCCCACAGGTAAATTAAAACACACAGATAGGGAGGGGAAAAAAGAAAACTTGCCCCAAAAGCAAGTGTAGGAATAAGACACTGCAGAGGACTAGGAATGGAAGAGTCTTTATTGCTTTAAATTCTTACAAGTCTGCTGTATACATCCCCCTTTGCCATAGGCTTGCTGCAAGGAGACACCCACAGCTTGCAGTATGGCTCAGGGGAAGCAGGGACTGTGGACCCACAAGCTTTGGTCTCTCTACCCCACAGGAGGCTGACCCCTTCTCCCTGGCTGATGGGAAGAAAAAGCCAAAGAAAACAAGGCAGATGCCAGCTGTGAGAAAATTAAGGTTCACATGAAAGTGGTTGCTGCTACAAGAGCGGAAGGGTCAGGGACAGTTTCTCCAGCACCTACAAAGGACACCAGCTCCCAGCTTATTAGCAAAGGAGGACACCAGCTCCCAGCTTATTAGCAAGGGAGCCTAATGTGTTCCCAGCAGACTACTGTGAACCAGACTCCTCTGGTCTCTTAGAGAGATGTCAGGGCAATCAGAGGCAGTTATTAAAAGTCAGGAAAAAAAACAAGCTGACATCAGTGCTGGCACTATGCTAAGCCTGTATTCTCTTGTTAGCTAGGAGGAATACAAACAGATCAAAGGTGCTGCTCCCCCAAAGCTGGGCCCTCTGGGTTTTCTCCTCACTCACAGTTTAATCAACACTACTGGACTTACCAAGGGGAGGCTGGGCACAGCCTTGCCTCAAGCAACTCCATGCTTGGTTCTGCACATCCATATTACCCATTTGAGCATGTGCCTAAGGCAGAGACACCTTCGAGTTCTCCGTCTCAACTACAGACATCAACCTGTGACACTTGCACAGGAACACCTCTCCCACTCACCTTCTGAGCAAAACCACTCTGTCCCTCTTTTGGGGCAGCTCAGACCAGTGTCTTCCTCCCACTCCTCTCATCTCTGGGAATAGACACTGTGCAGATGCTCTCTTACCTCATCAAGCCACACAGAAAAGAAAACCAGAGACTAGGAACAAAACAAAATCAAACCAAACAGGAACAAAAGCTATAACTGGGCTACGGCCCGGACACCCCACCAGAGAGCCAAAAAACATGTCAGCAGAGAAGCTGTGGCCGAGCCAGCTGCGCATCCATGCTCATGCATCCACGAGCGTGAGCCCATCGTGCAGCGCACGCTTCCACATGTAGTAGGTGGAGCGGGCTGTGAGAGGGAAGCGTGCACTGAACTCCTTGTAGGTGGGGAAGGTCTTCGACTCAAAGCGCTGCTGCAGGAACAGCTTGGCTTGTGCCTTGAACTGGGCAGTGGCAATCACATCCATCACAAACATCCGGCTGTTGGCTCTCTCTGACACAGCATAGCCTGAAATGGTGGCATTGTATGGAGTGGCTGGCGCTAGCTTGTCTAGACGCTTGGTAGCCACCTCCATTTGTACCTGAGGCTTGTGGCTGGCCTCGGCTCTCTGAGGCACCAGGGAAGGAGCCCGTTTCACTGGCTGGCAGGAACTGGTCCAGGGCAGGCGACGTTGTTTGCGTGCCCTACTGCTGCCCTTCCAAAACCAATAGGCTGTGGAGGAGAGAGAAGGATACCGAAGGCAGAACTTGTAGAATGGCAGCTGCCATTGCTGGACTTGCTTCTTGGCCATCTCCCGCAGCCGCTTTCTCCAGCACAGAGAGGGTTTGAGCTGCAGAAGACTTTTAGGTGCTGGCTGGTGTCCATTCAACCTCTTCCTAACAGGCAAGCTGCTTGGCTTCAATTGCAGGATTTGCTTTCCTATCACGAGAGGTTTCTGATTACCCAAGGGAGACTGGGGAGGTTTGAAGTTTGGGTTCTCCTTGATCGCTTTTCTTCGCCAGTTGTAATAAGTGGACCTGGAGATGCCAGGAAAACTGCGCTTGAAGCACCTGTAAGGCACTAGAGTGTTCATGGAAATGCATTTTTCCAGGTAGGATTTAGCTCCTTGCATGAAAATCCCTGTTTGGATGGGGTCTGGAGAAGGACTTGAAGATCTTAAGCTTCCAGCTGAATTTGCTGGCTCATCCACATCAGCCTTTTTTGGGCCATCCCTGTGAAGCTCCGGCAATCCCTGGGCCTCAGCCAGGGCAGAGGCGTCACCATTCACCATGCTCTGCATCTCATGCTTCCAAGCATAGTACGTGGATCGGGATATTTCTGGAAACATTTGTCGGAAGTGCTGGAGGGGGATTACATTGCCCTCTTGAAAGCAGGACTGCAGAAAGTGTTTGGCTGCAAACCGGGCAGCAGCTTTCTGGCGGTGCTCACGAGACTGGCGCTTCCAGCGGTAGAAGGTGCTCTTAGTAATACTGTACCTGTCACGCAGGTTGGAGTAGGTCAGCTGGGGGTCACTGTTCAACAGCTCCAGGGTCTTCATGGGCTGCACAGGAGGTTCTGGCAAAGGGGTAGTGGGTTCTAGCTCTTCCAGGCCAACCACAGCCACAAAGTACTGCGCTTTGAAGACCTGCCTGGAGAGCTGCTGCCCAGCCCACATGATGTGAAGTGTGGAGGTTCGTGGGCCACACTTCCTGGGCCGGATGAGCCGGTTGAAGTACGGCCGTATCTTCAAGTTGCTCATGGGGTAAATGGAGTAGATGTTACACTGCAGTACCGAGGCAAGAGCATAGACATGCCACATGTTGGCAAAGGTGCCAGGAAAACAGGTAGCTTTGATGTCTGCATCAAAGATAGCCTCTAGGATAGCCATGGGCAGGCTGGTCATCTCTGGGGATTCCTCAGTGCAGAGCGAGTAGCGGACAGCCTGCAGCATCACTTTGGAGTCAATCATGCCATTCAAGTAGTACTGTTTGTGTAGCAGCATCTCCACCACCGTACGCACCTGCAGCTCCAGGCTCAGGCTGGGGTTGCCCCAGAGCAGCACACTGGCTGCCTCAAAGAGGCGGTTCCCCTCTCCTTTGCAAACCAGAGGCAGCATGTTGCTTGGGGCATCCTCAGGATAGAGGCTCCTGGCTACACAGTCAACTTCCAGCTCCTCTTGGAGCTGCCTCCCGCAATAGCCAGGCAAGGAGAAAGATGATAGGGTCCTCTCAGCCTCCAGCACAGCACTGGTGAGTCCCTCCAGACCAAAGCACTCAGTAGCTTCCTGAAGTTCCTGCAGCACAGACTGCACCAGCTGGTGCCGCTGGATCATCCTAAAAGAAAGTGAGAGAAGAGTCACTGGAAATCAGGACAGTGCATGCACTGGACAGCCAGAGGCTAAGCCTCAGGTCCAGCTCTTTCCCAAGGGCCAGAAAAACTAGGGGAGTAAAGAGGGGAAAAGACTCTCCCCAATTCCCCAGGGAAAAGAGCAAGCCCAAGTGCCCCCAGGCAGATGTGGGAGAGGGAGCTTGGTCTGCTCTCCAGTGACCTCCTGTGGGCAGCATGCACAGCACACAGCCTCCAGACACATTCGTCTGGGATGAACGAGCAAGACTACCCTCTAGCTCCTGCACACCTGTGCTCAGCCTCACCCCAGCACTTGCTTCCCCACAAATAGGAGCTCTGTCCCTTCCATTTTACCACCTCACTTCCCGCACTCAGAGCCAGCATAAAAGGCACCTGGAAGGGGAAGTGTTTGTCATCTTTATAGGAACTCATCTCTGACAGCGACACCATACAGGACTGCTCAAAGCATAGAGAAAGCAGACCTCAAGGTGGTAAGTCCGACAGGAGGGAGGGGAGAGAGAGAGAGGGAGGGAGGGAAAAGAAATAGAAAAAAAGCAAGAAAGAGGGTAGAGGAGAACAAGGAGCTTTCTCCCTTCTTCAAAGCACAGCCACTTCTGCAGCTACAATCACTGCATGCATCTATTACAACTGTTACAGAAAAACAGACATGTGATGGAGAGCCCCAAGCTGTTACCGTTACCTGAGCCGACACTAGATGTCACTTGCTGCTCAGCAGAGACACAACTGCTAGCCAGGAAGAAGGGGCAAGAGGAGGCTGCCCCTAAAAGCAGAGAAGCCTTGATGGGCCCCAGCTGGAGCTCCCTCCCAGGCAACTCATCAGTGCAGAAGGAGCACATGTGGGTGCTGGGTGGGCAGTTCAGAGGCTGCATGTTCTCTCCCTACCTGTCCTAATGCAGTCCTCTCTGTTCCTTCTCCATGCTAGCTCCCACTCAGACAGCCCAAAGGGCCAAACCTATACAGTCCCCTTTATTAGCTTTGGTCCTGACACCCATGCATCCCAGCCCCAACCACTCCAGGAGCTCTAAGGACCAGTTCTATCAGTACATCCCTCTTCAGCACTTCTTCACCACAACAGCGAGGTCTAGCTTTTCAGCCCAACGAGCCCAGCCTTTCCTTTCGGCCCTGCTCCCCGTCACCACCATTTCTCTCAGGAGGGCAGCCCTTCCTAGCCCATTTGCTGCTAATGGATAGCTCTGCCTCCAACTTGCAGTCACTTTGTAGCTAGGCTGCCCATTCACGTCCCTGCTGAAGACCTAACCTTTCGCAACCCTTCTTGGGTATCATCATGCACCCACAACCCCACCAGGAGATGGGGAAACAGCAGCCTCGGGCAGGGGGGGCAAAAGTTCTGAAGTAAAACTGACCCTGCCTGAGCTTTCCTGACTCCTGTGGAGCCTGTGCCCTACTGCAGACAGTGTTGCCACTGCTTTGCCATCTACAGTCCCTGGCCATGACCAAACACCAAATGAAACAAGGTGCTAAATCATCACACTGTCCCATCCAGGCTACTTCACCACAAGGAGGCCTCTGTACTCTTACTGACCCTCGTCTGACTGACCCATAGCTGCTCAGGCAATTCCCTTTCCCTATTCCGTGTTCCTCCACGGTTCCCTTCAGGTTGGTACGTGGGAGTCAGAGCTTTTTTTTTTTTTTACAGCTGTTCTCACATGAGGTATCAGAGAAATAATACAAAAGAAGGACTGTAACAGAGAGACTTGTCCTATAATTTTGGTCCAAGTGAATCTGTGGTTACTACTTGGGGCCAAATGAGGGGATTTTGTTCTCCTGGAGGTTCACAGAATTTATTCTGCAGAACAGCATTCTGGCTTGAGGGGCAGAAACAACGTGATTCCTCAGTGCACATGGCTAGGAAGAGAGCTGCAAGCACAGGCAGAGCTCAAGCCCTCAACCTCCACGTCCTGCCAAGCCCTTTTGGGGCTTGCAACATTCCGCTGCTGCAGCGGCCTCCCCCTTCAACCCGCACAGCCGGGCTCATCGTGTTGCGGCTACCGCAGGAGCGGAGAAAAGCCAGGACAAGCGGCTCCCCTGGAAGGGGGATTCCTGGAGGGGATGCCTTTCACCAGGCTTCCATCCTGAGGCCGGGGGGCATCAGGAACACGCTTGGTCTTTACAGCCTGATGGGCATTTCCCACCCGCTTATATTTTGGGACCGGGAAGAAAGGAGGAGCTGGATGCATATGACTTTCTTCAGCAGTTACCCTACTTGCTCAATGCCAGTATCAACTCCTGCTGCTCAGAGCCTAAGCAACAGGATCTCCAAGACAATTCTAAAGCAAACCCCTCAGTTCACACTGCCTCAGGGGTTTCTTTGGGATGCTTGAAGAGGAGCCCAGGTAGGTCAGAAATGCCAGAAACATGCTTAAGTCAGACACTACTATGCTGGGGCTTAGTCCACCACCAAATCAAACCTAGTAGCTTAGCTCTCACTTTAGAGAGCCCTTGGAAGGATTTTCCCTGCACATCCCCAGCAGAGCCAGCTGAACACGACAGACAAGTGCTCCCCAGACTGCCTGAGCACCAAGGCAACCAGGGGAGCTTTTCACCACTGATAAAGGTGACTTTAGCTAACCTGGCCACTTTTGCATTGTAGCAGATAAGCGAGCACTTGCAGAGCACATTCCCTCAGCTAAACCAAGGGGCTGGTGGCATCCAGTAGTGCAAGTTCCCCAAGCCATCCCAGAAGACTCCCTGGCCAGAAGGAATCCAAGAAACTCCAGCTGCCCTACCCCAAGGAAAGGTCAGGCAATCTGCAGCCCTTCCCAAAGCCCTTGCAGGGACAGTTTTGCCACCCTGGAGAGAGTAACAGGAGCGAAAGTTTCTGGGCTAGTGTATGCCCAGCTAGACTTGTGACTTCTTGTTTCTGAGCCCCCAGCTGTGAGGCTCTCAAGCCCTCACCAGAGCAAAGGCTTTGGGTTGAAAGGAAGCATTTGAACCTCCCCAGCTGTGCAAGGGACACGCACACACACACACACACAAAAAGAGAATCTCAGGAAACCGTCCATGCATGGACATGGACATGCTGGAGCACTCTTGGGATTTTAGGTGCTAAACTGCACTAATAGGTCAAGCGACAAGAAAAAGCCTGCTCCAATAAACTAGTACCT